ATAGGGTGTGTGTGTGTATGTACACGCACACACACACACACATATATATATATATATGTATGTATGTATGTATGTATGTATTTATGTATGTATGCATGCATGCATGCATGTATGTTTCTCTATCTATCTATATATGCACATACAGATATATATATATATACATATATATATATATAAATGTAGAGAGCGGTGTGTCTGTGTATATATATATATATGTAGAGAGAGGTGTGTCTGTATGTACATAAGTTTAGACATACAAGTATTGCACACACATATATTTTATACATACATACATATATATATATAAGATGCGTCAAACTACACATACACAGATCTATATACCCAACTATTATAAAAGCACACACATAATGTAACATCTCCATGTACACCATATAAAGAAACAGCCATACCAGAACCAAGCTGAGATGAAGCTGCAGATCACTGAGCCGCAGTTCGTGAACCTCTCGGCAGGTCCTTTGGGTTGGATCTGGGGTTTTAGGCCTCAAACAACCAAGACTTAAAGGGTTTTGAGGCCTGGGTATTCTGGAGTTTTTAAGAGTTTTGATGGCGTGCGCTTTTCGGATTCAGTGAGCGGGCCTCTGGGCTGCAGTGCTTGGTATTAAGGGGTCTGTAGGCGTGAGGCTTGGGATTCAAACGCTTTGTGACTTCGGGTCGGAGCCTCGGGGGTTTTGAATCTTGAATGTTGCTTACCTGGCTTAGCAGTTTAGCACTTAAGTGGTTCGAGGCGTTTGGCACTCTGGGAAGAGCCCGATCAGATGTACATGCAGTATCATCCAAAGAACACGTCTAAACACCTAGGTGGATTTCACCAGCGTGTGCAAGCCCCAAGATCTCGCCGTGAAGCCCGAACGCAAAATTCCCCATGCGCTCCACTCAGATGAGCCCGCCGCACGCCGCGCGCGCAAGAAGAAGAACGCCAACCGCAAAGGCCTGCAGGGGTTGGGTGCAGTGTACGAACTCCATGAAAAGATGACAACGTGAGTTTTGTACCCCGACACTACTCATGCCAATGCGAGCTTTTGTGCATCCGACAGCACTACGGTTAGTTCCAACCGTACTTATTAGCAATAATGACATAGGAAGACTCACCGCCATCATCATCACTATCATCATCATTGTCACCAACACTCTCACCATCACCGTCATCGTCAGCATCATTATCGTCATCATCGCCATTGCCGTCGCCGCTGCTGTCATCAAAGGTGCAATCTCAGTTACGGTGCTAGACATAGGCAGTCCAGGCAGGACGCGTTCCTATCATGATGGTCGTGGCCAGTGTCACCTTCATCATCATCATCATCATCATCATCATCATCATTGTTAGCATCATCATCAACAGCAGTATTGTCATCAGCAGCAGCATCACTCAGGGGTCATGGCCAGGACGCCACCGTGCATCATGAACAGACTCAAGAACACAGTGTGATCCAGTTCAGGGTCATGGCCGATCATGCCAAGAATGCTCATGCACGGGACGAGGACACTACTACTGCTATTGATCATGTTGACGAGTAGTTGTAGCGATGATGACGGCCACCGTCAACGTCATCATCATCATCATCATCATCATCATCATCACCATCATCAACATAATCATCATTTTGACATGATCACCATTTCCATCACCATCATCCTCGTCAGCAGCATGCAAGGGAACGGTGTCGACGACAATGGGACGCAGACGAACGGACGGCAGTGAGGTTAACAACGTAGGTCTTATAATGACACTGAAGACGGCCCTACACCCTATGTCCTAAAACCTTCAGTCATACACACCAGCTGCATAAATCTTGCCCGTACTTTGCGCTTCCAGTCCGAACTCATGTAGAACAAAACCCTCCCCTGCAATCCGACACCCCTCATCCTAAACCCTAAACCCTAAACCCTAAACCCTAAGCCCTAAACCCTAAACCCTGGAACCTGAACCTTCAACCCTAAACCCTAAACCTTAAACCCTAAAGCCCTAAACCCTAAACCCTAAACCCTAAGCCCTGTAAACCCTAAACCCTGGAACCTGAAGCTGAAGCCGACCCTAACCCCCCAGGTACCCACTATATGAGGTACTAGAGCCCCTAAGGCCCTATATAGTAGGTACTTGGGGGGTTAGGCCGAGAAGGTGGCTCCAGCCCGAGCTCGGCTTCGTCGTCTTCATCCTCCGAGGCCTTCACTTCAAAGCGGGCAGCTTGGGGTTTAGGGCTTATAGGCTTTGGGTTTATAGGTTTAGGGTTTAGGGCTTAGGGTTTAGGGCCTATAGGCTTAGGGTTTATAGGTTTAGGGCTTAGGGTTTAGGGCTTATAGGGCTTAGGGTTTAGGGTTTAGGGTTTATAGGTTTAGGGTTTCGGGTTTTGGGGTTTAGGGTTTAGGGCTTTGGGTTTCGGGTTTAGGGTTCAGGCTTTGGGTTTTGGGGTTTAGGGTTTAGGGCTTAGGCTTTGGGGTTTAGGGTTTAGTGCTTATAGGTTTAGGGTTTAGGGCTT